AAAAGTTCTAGTGTTCGGACTCCATTCTCATTTCCTTGGAATCCCTACCCATTCTTCTTCTTGGTTCTTCTTCGAGACTAGCTCTACCTAGAATAACCATATCAATTGGTATCAGCCTGTTACCTTCCAACCACAATCACCATGGCAGATAACACCCGCACCGTTCGCGAAGATTTTGAGAACTTCAAGACTTCCATGGAATCACGTTTCGCAGATCTTGATACATCATTGGAATCACACTTCATGGGTATTGGGGCTTCATTAAGGAATTATCTTGAGGAAGTGCTTCAAAATCGCACGCCCCCTTCTTCTGCCGCCACCGGAAATTCTTCTCGCCCTTATTCTTGCAACACGAGGCTTGCGCGGTTGGACTTTCCTCGTTTCAATGGAGATGGCATCAAGAACTGGATTACCCAGTGCGAAACCTTCTTCTCAGTAGATCAAACCCCTGAAGATTACAAAGTCCTTTTGGCGGTGATCCATTTCGAAGGGAAAGCACCCCAATGGCACAGTGCTTATGTGAAGAATGTGGGCATTGACAAATTGCCATCATGGAAAGATTATACAAAAATCTTGCTGGAACGATTTGGTGAAGTTTGTGAAGATCCTATGGCAGAACTCATGAGACTTAGGCAAAGAGGTACTGTAACAGATTATCACAATGATTTTGATGCCATTGTTTCTCGAATTGAATTGTCTGAGTCACATCAATTAAGTTGCTTTCTTGGTGGTCTAAAACTGGAGATTCAAATGATGGTTAGAATGTTCCAACCTACTTCGGTTATGAAAGCCTTCTCCTTAGCTAAAATGTATGAAAATGCTAATGCCACTGCTACAACAGCAAAACCATTTTCCAGAATACCTAAACTTAACCCTGTGACCAAACCACCCCTGTTACCCAACCCTCCCAAACCAGTGGACAATAACAAACCCAAAACACAAACTACTAAACAGCTTACCCCTGCCTTTATGAGTGAAAGAAGGGCTAAAGGATTGTGTTATTTCTGTGATGAGCCCTTTACTCCTGAACATAGCAGGACACACAAGAAACTTCAAATCCATGTTATGGAATTAGATGACACCTCTGATTCTGTTGATTCTGAAGAAGTGGTGGACCTTGATGATGATTCTACTGTTGACATCTGTTTAGATCCCTTAATTTCAGTCAATGCCTTGACTGGAGTTACCAAATTCAACACCATGAGAGTTACAGGTCGATCAAGGAAAAAACCCTTACATATTCTCATTGACAGTGGCAGTACACACAACTTCTTGGATGTCAATGTTGCCAAGAGGCTAGGATGTAAAATTGAGGATATGGATTCTGTTACTGTGACTGTGGCTGATGGTGCTAGAGTTCAAATTAATACAATGGTTAAAGGGTTTTCTTGGCTAATCCAGAACACTGTTTTCACCTCAGATATCATGCTCCTGCCCCTGGGGTGTTGTGATATGGTTCTAGGCATAGAGTGGTTGATTACTTTAGGTGATATTACATGGAACTTTGACAAGTTAACCATAGTGTTCCATGCTAAGGGTAAGAGACATATTTTGAGAGGTACCTCATCTACCAATATTAGGACTATTCGGAAACAGCAAGTGCCTAAGACATTGGCGGCTGGTGTCCACCTCTCCATGCTGCAGCTCTGTGACTCTGGGGATGGGATGCTTCTCCACTCCCTGTCCACTCATGCTGATCCTTCCTCCATTCCTAATAGTATTGAGCAACTATTACTCCAATATGCATATGTGTTTGCAGTACCTACTAATCTTCCTCCTAGGCGTCCCAATCATGACCATACAATCCCTCTGATACAAGGTTCTAACCCTGTAAATAAACGGCCCTACAGATCTAAGTGTTATTTTGGGGTTACTAGAGTTGAATATTTAGGTCACTTTAACACGGGCAAGGGAGTTTCTACTAATCCTGCAAAGGTAGAAGCAGTCAGGAATTGGCCTCTTCCTCAGACACTAAAGCAACTAAGGGGTTTTCTGGGATTGGCAGGGTACTATAGACAATTTGTAAAGGGCTACAACACTATAGCTAAATCTCTGAATAATATGTTAAAGAAGGATGGGTTCACTTAGTTTCCAAATTTCAATCCTTGAGGACAAGGATTAGCTTAAGGAGGGTGGATTGATACAGGAACCTGCATAAGACTCCAGCTAGGATCAGTCCTATTAGTAGTTAGTTAGCCACGTGGCACATCATGAGCTACCAGTTAGTTAGAAACCGCCAAAATTAGGAAGGTTGTTAGTTCTGAATTGTTTCTGAAGTGTATATAACAGTTCCATCGATTTCAATTGATTTATTCATGACTTATAAAAATTCTTCCTGTAAAATTCCTCTCAATTCAATAAAAAGTTCTAGTGTTCGGACTCCATTCTCATTTCCTTGGAATCCCTACCCATTCTTCTTCTTGGTTCTTCTTCGAGACTAGCTCTTCCTAGAATAACCATATCATCCAACTCCGTTTTGTTCCCTCACTTTCTTATCCTCTGTGCCTAGAGAAAATGTACATCGTTCTCCACAAGATCAAAACGCTAATTGAAGATTGCTCCAATGGAAGAAACAAGTTCAATCTGGTCGTGCAAATCGAAACCTTTGCCGACACCTTCCACAGGCTCACCGGAGAACTCTCCACGCTCCTCGATGTTTTCCCTCTCCAAGAACTCCACCTAAACAACGACGTTCGGGAACTCGTTATCCTCTTGCGGAAACACTGCTCTGAATCCATACCGTTTGTCGGAGCCGAACAGATTTCTTGTGTAAGTTGTTGCTATCTGTATAAATACGAAGATCTGTGCTGCCAGTGTTGTAAGATTTGACTTTCTTTTCTTTTATTGTATTTTCATTTTATGATCAGGTTGGTGTTGATAACATGTGCATAATTGTAGATGTTGTGAAACGGATGTATTCGGATGAGAAACTTTATAAATTCAAGGAATTTTATAAATTTAAGAAATTTTAAATTCTTGGTATTTGAATTACTTTGGTTTCAATTTCTATTATTATTAAAATATTTTGTTTGGATAAGTCAATTCAAATTTTTCAAATTTTAAATTATTGGGTTGGATATGATAATTTGATTTAATCATGGTAAAATTGATTTTAAAAATATATTTATATATTGAGATCTCTAGAGCAGTCATGAATATCGAGCATCTGCATGGCCTATTAGCGCACAACAACAATAACAACAAGAATTGTGGGATGCAATGTAATTGGTAGACCTCTAACATGCGTCAAGTGTCTTTTGTTCATATAGCTTGCTATAACAATTATATGGTGTGTTAAGTTTTATAGAGCTAGGTTTGGTTCATATAGCTTGTTGCACCAGGTCCAACACATTACATCCAAGAGAATGAGAACTCATGAAATTCTTTTATTTTCTTAAAACTTTTTCTTTAACCTTTTTGAAATATGTGGGGAATTGTTGTATTTTTTTTAGTGATATTTCAAAAAGATTAACATGTTTATTTAATTAGAAAAAATAAAATAAATTTTGTTTTATTAAATAAATATTTTAATTAAATTCAGTTTTGTTGACTTGGTTTTTTAGATTAAGTCTTATCTTATATTTTGACTTGGCCTTCAAGAGATAATTACATTTTTTATCCTAAGACTTGGTAAAAAGGTGTTTTTGAGAAACAATTTCTCTTCATTATAAAAATAACATACAAAAGGTTTTGAAAGTATCTTCTCACACATCTTTTCTTGATTATATTATGAGTATCATAGATTATTCTCAGTTGAAAATTTGTTAGTTCTGATATCTCAATTATTAATTGGGAAAGACTTGTTATATCTTTGGGAGACTTGCACATCCCGCAGATAAGTCCTTAAGGACAAAGCTATCACACGTCTCAGGCTATTGTTAATTCTATGATTGTATAATTTTCATATAAGAAATAAGATTCATGATCAATCATAAAGATGGACAGCATTGGACAATTACTACAAAAAAAAAATCAAGTAATTATTGGCGGTTTTAATAAATAGCCAAAAAATGTTATAATTTTAGGGGCAATGTTTACCAATTTAATTGAAATATTTTTTTAAAAATTTTTTTAAAAAAAATTTAGACTTAATTCAAAATAATGTCTTTGCTTCAACTCACGGATCAGATATGTTCCCTCACCAACACCGCCAACTTCCTCCTCAACCGCACTTCCTCCTCTACCATCCGCAAAACGCAGCTTCTTGGCGTCGTTTTCGAGGACCTGATTCGCGTTTCCAATTCCAACTCCGTTTTGTTCCCTTACTTTCTCATCCTCTGCGCCTCGAGAAAATGTACATCGTTCTCCACAAGATCAAAACGCTAATTGAAGATTGCTCCAATGGAAGAAACAAGTTCAATCTGGTCGTGCAAATCGAAACCGTCGTTGACACCTTCCACAGGCTCACCGGAGAACTTTCCACGCTCCTCGATGTTTTCCCTCTCCAAGAACTCCACCTAAACGGCAACGTTCAGGAACTCGTTATCCTCTTGCGAAAACAGTGCTCTGAATCCATACCGTTTGTCGGAGCCGAACAGATTTCTTGTGTAAGTTGTTTCTTTCTGTATAAATACGAAGATCTATGTTGCCAGTGTTATAAGATTTGACTTTCTTTTCTTTTATTGTATTTTCATTTTATGATCAGGTTGGTGTTGATAACATGTGCATAATTGTAGATGTTGTGAAACGGCAACCCTTATGATGTATTCGGATGAGGAATTTTAAATTCAAAGAAATTTTAAATTCTTGGTATTTGAATTTCTTTGATTTCAATTTCTATCATTATTAAAATATTTTGTTTGGATAAGTCAATTCAAATTTTTTAAATTTTAAATTATTGGGTTGGATATGATAATTTGATTCCACCATGGTAAAATTGATTTTAAAAGTATATTTATATATTAAAATTTTTAAATTAAATTGATTCCACCATGCTTGAATTTCAAATTTCTTATAAATTCTCCATCCAAACAAGGTATTTCACCTCAAAGAATTTGAAATTCTTTAAATAAATGAATTACTCTATTTAAATTCTCTATCCAAACATACTATTAGGTTTACCAATTGAAGAAAAAATATGCAATGCAATGGGTGAAGTTGGACCTTCAATAACACTGGCCAGCTTATCAGAAATTCTAGCATTTGTTGTAGGATCATTTGTTTCTATGCCAGCATGCCGTGTATTTAATGCTTATCAGAAATTTAATGAGTTTGAACAGCAGATGGAGATGGTTGGGAGGATTAGGCACGACAATGTGACTGCACTAAGAGCATATTACTATTCAAAGGAGGAGAAACTTATGGTGTATGATTACTACGAACAGGACAGTGTCTCTTTAATGTTGCATAGTATGTTATATTGATAACCTTTTCTCCCTTATATTATTTTCAGCTCATTTAATTCATTATCACATACCTATACAACTATACAATTAAAATTGGTTTTCTCACTTTTCTGTAATGGTCAAGTATAAGTATTCTTTTAAGAATACTAAGGCAAAAGTAGTGGTACTTCCTTTCATTTCTTTTTTCTTCCTTAAATGCATAGTAATATGGGTCTATTTAGACAAAACATCTCCAAAAATATTTTTAAGAGAAAAAAAAATGAGAAAAAAATGAAATGAACTTCTTCATAAGGTAAAATTAGTTTATATATATGTGTATTATAATTTGTAAAAACTCTCTTTTATTTATTTTTCCAAAATTTTATTTTTAACTGTGCATAATTTAGTTTATGTTTATGAAGAAGCTCATTTTCATTTTTTTTATTTGTCTCTCCTAGAAGAAACAGACACTATGTCATTAAATCAAAATTTGTCACTGATTGTAATAACACCAAAAATTGTGACTACCTAAGTCTTGGAAGGGGTTCCATGCAGATATTGGTTTAGGTGAAAAGATGATTAAAGAAGTTACAAAATGAATGTTTTTTTGGTTCATGGCGCAAAGGTAGGAAATCAAAAAAGAGTATTAAGTGTAGTTTGTGTAAACAAATAGGTCATAACATGAGAACGTGTGGAAGACAACAGAATTTGGATGATATGGAACAAAGCACACGTGGAATGAGTATTGAATTTGAAGAAAGTTACGTAGGTTACGAAAATGAAGAGGTAACGAATATAAATTATATTAAAATTATATATTTGTTGGTAAAACAGAGTTAGATGTGATGTGTTTAATGTTGTCATTGTAGGAAGATGAGTACATTGAAGATTTGTTTGACAAATGCGATGAAGTTGATAATGGGGTTGGTGACATGTCTGTTTCACAGTCAGAATCAATATATAGTTATGAAGTGTCGTTATCTCCAGCATTCAGTGATGCAGGTAATGTTTATGAATTAGTAACTCAAGTGTGTTATTGTAGGTGTATGAGAAGTAGTAAGTTAATTTTTATTGTATTAGTATGATGTTATATTATTTTAGTTGTGTATGTGTAATATTGGAACTAATCGATTGCTGATAATTGTTATTAAATTGTATTTGCAGGTTTTTTATACGATTGATGGCGGTTGCAGTAGAATGGAAATGCATGAATTCACATAGTTTGGATTGAAAATTTAGATGAATGTGACTTTTGTTGTTATTTATGCAGGAGTTTTATTTTATATTGTATTTAATTGTAGTTGGAAAATATTATTCAGTAATGAAATTATGATACATGAATATTTAAAGATACAAATATTTGAATTTGAAACCAATATATTTTGAATTTTTGAAAAAATTGGGTTGCTATTGCCATTGAGGGTGTTGTTGTATGTTGTTGGCAGGTGGAAAGTGTAATCCCAAAATTGGGGTTTATTGCTGAAATTATTGGGTGAATGACTTCAATGGATATTACGATTTTGAAGGGTGACATGGGTTTTGGTTTGTTTCGTTTAACGTGCCTATAGGTTACCGGAAACATCGTATATATAATATGTATATAGTTGATTGTATTGTAATTAGTTGTTTAATATTATTTTAATTGATTGTATTTAATAATTTATGTTTATGAAATTTGTAATGTGTTTAAATTTTTTGTAATTTTCGTTGTGTTTCGAAACACTGCAATCCCTGCGTCCGACGTCCGGTGGAATACAAGTGTTTATTTAATTTATGCAGCCGTTGATATACATTTAATTTTGGTTTTATATAGTTAAAAAAATTAATTTAAATAAATACATTTTTTTTTGAAATTCAAACCTTAACCAGTTATAAAAATAAGTACGTAAAAAAAAAACTTATATAATATGATTCGGTTTTAGTTCCCTTTAATACGTTTTTAGTCCTTACATTTTAACATAAAACCACATCACTTTTGGTAAGTGTAGTAACTAAAAATCTATTAATTTTTTTATAAGAACTAATAGCAAATTTTTGAGATATTTGGAAGAACCAAAAACATTTTATCGCCTTAATTTATTTTTTTTTCTGGTAATCATATACAGTTTGCTAGTGTGCTGTGCTATGCAATTCTATTGCCATATTCAGCATTCGAGCTTAATTGAATTTACTTTAGCTTGGTCATCACTCTGCTTGTTTCAATTAGCTTGGTCATCACTATGCTTGTTTCAATTTGAAATAGTTTCTGAAACCAAAACCCAAAAAGTGAACGCAAAAGTTCTGTATTCTCGTTTTTGGACAAATGTTCCTTATAGGCATTTTATAAGAACTCCGCAAAAAGAGCTTTTGAAAAACTGACAGTTGGCTTTCCAATCATTAACATATGAAATTACATAGTCTATCATTTAAGAGTTACCAGTGAAGTGGAATTTTTATTCCCTTGTATTGCCTAATATCTTTATATTCTAAGCATGTTATGTTATTGACATTATTTCTTACATATTTTGACTTAATATTTTTGTGCTATTTGACATGCTAAAGGTTATAGCTGCAACAGTAGCAAGTGATCCAGAGAAATACAGTGAAGCGTTTCTTGGGAAGCGAAACGCAGATTATTGTAATTGGATTCTTGACTCGGAGAAGTGGGGAGGTTAGTTGGCTTATGTTTTCCTAATCAATGTTTTTTTTTTTAAAATATAAAAGAATAATGGAGATATTGGCCATTTTTACTCTGCAATTTTGAACTGCTACTTTTGGTGGCCAATGTATGAATGTAAAACCTCAAGTGTGGAGAATTCATTTTTATTTGGAACTTGGAAGGTAATGAAACTTGCCCTAAGTGAGGTTGATTTAACATCTATAGTTTTAACTTCTTTGGCTTTTAAGAAACTTTGCTAACATAAATATATTACGAAGTATATAAGAGTAAAATAGATTATTTTCCTGAAACATTAAGAGGCATAAAAATTTAATTAAATTTTGGAAGAAAAAAAATAAACATCTTGATGACTATACAATCTTCTGCAACAATTGGAAATTGTTTAAATTTCTGTTTTGTTTCTAAAAGTTGGCTGCTGATTTAAATTTTGTGAGTATGGATTCTGTAGTTGTTGAGTTTAACATGAGTTTCAAAGGGTATCTCAAACTCTCGTAACAGCAAATTTAACAATGAACCAATGTTATTTTGTTACTTTGATGTGCTAATTAATCTCTATGTTCCTTTGTGAAGGTGCAATTGAACTTTCGATATTAGCAGATTATTATGGACGTGAAATTGCAGCATATGATATCCAGACAACCCGATGTGATTTGTATGGTCAGGTAAGCCACTTGTATGCATTCTATATGGCATATTATATGCTTCCTAGTTTTGGAATCTCTTATGACTAAACTTTTCTATTCTCATTTTGGGTGAATACTTTTGACCGGGAAGTAAAGAGTGATGTTGATTTACGATGGTCTCCACTATGATGCATTAGTGGTGAGTAATTTTATATACTATAAATTATTAATCTTCAATTCCTTCTTTTTCATGCATTGTTTTAATAATGTTTTTTATATACTATAAATTCAATCACTTTGTGGCAGTTTTAAACCGTCACAAAATTCATTTTAATATATACAGTTTCTGACGGCTTTAAACCGCTACAAAATTCATCAAAGTTTTTCTTAACTTAACATTTCTGGCAGTTTTAAACCGCCACAAAATTGAATTTTTTTTTAATTTTTCTCACATTTTTGGACATACAATTATGATGAAATGGAAAAACACAAATGGTGAGTATCTTTCCCTTTAATCTCTTTCAATTGCAGAATCTTAGCACAATTGTTCATTCTTTATTCTTTATGTTTGTGTGTATGTTAAAATTACTTTTCCTAGTTATTTTGTGTTTCTTTGTTTCAAAGTCTGTGAAGGGCAAAACTCATTATTGCTTTTATTGCTCAGCAAAATTGATCACAAGTTAAGGAAGAACACAAAGTTCAGAACCTTTTGCCATAATGTGTACAAGGTGATGATCCATGAGAGGATCAATATAGTTACACCAGGACCCCTGTAGAAGAGGACATTGGGATTCTTAAATCATCAAATACTTAACAAATGTTGCTTCCATTTGCTAGCTTAGAGGAGCTTTGCTACTAAATAAAAACTTGGTTTAATCAATTTTTTTTACCTCTATAATATCATAAACTTTACTTTTAGTTAAAAATGTTCAATTTAGTCTTTATGCATGTCATATTTGTTCTTTTTTAATCTCTGTCTTCTATTTGTATAGGGTATAAAATTTATGAAACTATAAAAAGAAGGTACACTAAAATAAATTATTTTTAATTATAAAAACTAAAAACTAAAGTTCATGTAACTATATCAGATAAAAGGATAACTAAAGCTAAAAATTTCTACTAAAATTGGTAAACATAACTGATTTTGGTCTTATTCTTTAATATCAGAACAAATTACACTCACATTCCATGTAATTTATTTAAATTGCACACAATACCCTACCTCTTTAATCCATGCAGTTTATTTAAATTGCACACAATACCCTGCCTCTTTAATCCTTATGGCAATTCTCCTAAATTATTTGAAAGACATTAAGCTGTTATACCTCTATTTCCTAAGAAACACATTACACCTAGTTTCTTGTATAGTGCACTATGCTAGTATGATCTGTTTACATTATTATTTGAAAATAAAAGATATTTTAGAATTTAGAATGCAGTATGCAATATTTTTCTTGCTTATAACACAATGGCATTAAAGTATGTTTAAAAATAACATTATTTTATCTTATAGGAAATAAGTTGAAGCTTCAATGCATTTTGGGTTTTAAATATACCATCCAAGGTCTGACATAGCATAGGGAAAACCAAGAACACCAGCTCCAACCATGGCAGTAACATTGTGGAAAGCTGAGTACCACCATTTTCCATTCCTTTTTGACGTAATTGGAAGCCACTCTTCCATTTTCCTATCCCTCCCTGTTTTTTCCTATTTTATCAACAAACAACAAATTAAATGAGCCTCAACTTCAAGCTACATAATGGCATAAAATCTGTTAGTATATGATAGTTGTGGAGGGAATAGTTGGAAGAATAATAGAAACTTATTTGTATTGAGAGAGTAGTAGTAATTATGGTAATTGTTGTTGACGTTGTTATTGTTACAATGAAGCCCCAATTTGCCTATTTATAGGCATGACTTATCTTATATTTTGGCTTGGTCTTCAAGAGATAATTACATTTTTTATCCTAAGACTTGGTAAAAAGGTGTTTTTGAGAAACAATTTCTCTTCATTATAAAAATAACATACAGCAGGCTTTGAGAGTATCTCCTCACACATCTTTTCTTGATTATATTATGAGTCTCATAGATTATTCTCACCATACCGTTCGTTGGAGCCGAACAGATTTCTTGTGTAAGTTGTTGCTATCTGTATAAATACGAAGATCTGTGCTGCCAGTGTTGTAAGATTTGACTTTCTTTTCTTTTATTGTATTTTCATTTTATGATAAGGTTGGTGTTGATAACATGTGCATAATTGTAGATGTTGTGAAACGGCAACCCTTAGGTTTACCAATTGAAGAAAAAATAAGCAATTCAATGGGTGAAGTTGGACCTTCAATAACACTGGCCAGCTTATCAGAAATTCTAGCATTTGTTGTAGGATCATTTGTTTCTATGCCAGCATGCCGTGTATTTAATGCTTATCAGAAATTTAATGAGTTTGAACAGCAGATGGAGATGGTTGGGAGGATTAGGCACGACAATGTGGCTGCACTAAGAGCATATTACTATTCAAAGGAGGAGAAACTTATGGTGTATGATTACTACGAACAGGACAGTGTCTCTTCAATGTTGCATGGTATGTTATATTGATAACCTTTTCTCCCTTATATTATTTTCAGATCATTTAATTCATTATCACATACCTATACAACTATACAATTAAAATTGGTTTTCTGTAATGGAAGTACAAGTAGTCTTTTAAGAATACTAAGGCAAAGTAGTGGTACTTCCTTTCATTTCTTTTGTCTTCCTTAAATGCATAGTAAATAGTAATATGGGTCTATTTAGACAAAACATCTCCAAAAATATTTTTAAGAGAAAAAAAATGAAATGAACTTCTTCATAAGGTAAAATTAGTTTATATATATGTGTATTATAATTTGTAAAAACTCTCTTTTATTTATTTTTCCAAAATTTTATTTTTAACTGTGCATAATTTAGTTTATGTTTATGAAGAAGCTCATTTTCATTTTTTTTATTTGTCTCTCCTAGAAGAAACAGACACTATGTCATTAAATCAAAATTTGTCACTGATTGTAATAACACCAAAAATTGTGACTACCTAAGTCTTGGAAGGGGTTCCATGCAGATATTGGTTTAGGTGAAAAGATGATTAAAGAAGTTACAAAATGAATGTTTTTTTCCCCAAATTCATGGAAACGTAATTTCCTTCCCTTCTTAATTAGCAAGAACAGGATTTTGGCTTAAATATTCATTTGTTGCAACAAGTCATGAGACTTAAATACGTAACAAAGTTAATTTGTTAACTTTTGGCATTAAATACACGGCATGCTTATCAGAAAGTGATTTTACAATTTCTTAACTCGGGGATTTTCTTTTCTATAGCTTTGGCGGTTCTACTGGACTTCCTTCTACAGATTACTGCCTTTGTAGCTTTGGTTACATTAGACTTTAATGCTTCAACATGAAAGGACTCTCATGTAATGAAACATCAAACATGTTAAGGATATAATTCACTCTTAAGTATCCACCTTTTAAGTTGTAAATTAAACTTTTACTTTTAAATTGATGCTCAATAATTGTTTATATATCTAACATTTCCATTAAAGAATAATCATGAATTATTTTCAGCTTCTGTTGGTATTTTGTATTTTAAACTTTTTTCTCTCCTTGTTTATATATGGTTCTAATCATATCCTAATCAAAGTGTAGGCAATAGGCAGGAAAGAGATGGATTGCTGACACGATATATGAAGGTAAAGTCATATTTAGTTCACGCTTTTTGAAATATGTGGGGAATTGTTGTATTTTTTTTAGTGATATTTCAAAAAGATTAACATGTTTATTTAATTAGAAAAAATAAAATAAATTTTGTTTTATTAAATAAATATTTTAATTAAATTCAGTTTTGTTGACTTGGTTTTTTAGATTAAGTCTTATCTTATATTTTGACTTGGCCTTCAAGAGATAATTACATTTTTTATCCTAAGACTTGGTAAAAAGGTGTTTTTGAGAAACAATTTCTCTTCATTATAAAAATAACATACAAAAGGTTTTGAAAGTATCTTCTCACACATCTTTTCTTGATTATATTATGAGTATCATAGATTATTCTCAGTTGAAAATTTGTTAGTTCTGATATCTCAATTATTAATTGGGAAAGACTTGTTATATCTTTGGGAGACTTGCACATCCCGCAGATAAGTCCTTAAGGACAAAGCTATCACACGTCTCAGGCTATTGTTAATTCTATGATTGTATAATTTTCATATAAGAAATAAGATTCATGATCAATCATAAAGATGGACAGCATTGGACAATTACTACAAAAAAAAAATCAAGTAATTATTGGCTTACTAAGATGTTTTGATCAAACATAACACATCTATACAATGTTTGGTTTCCTTATAAATGCATTCTTCTATAAGGAATGCACTATCTCCACTTTGCCGCCCTGAAAGAGAAGTGAATGACATATAATCCAAGTCTCTAAGGAATGCAACTGCAGCATCTCCTCCAAGTCTAGACTTCAATGCATAACAACGCAGTAACTGGGAACTCATGAAGCTTGCTGAAGCAGACACTAACACTTCAATGTTGTTGATATGGTTACTTCATCCGGCACAAGACCTTCATCAATCATCAAACCAAAAAATTCAACCACATCATCAACCGCATCACAATGAGACAGGTCATCAATGAGTTGAAACACTCCAAAGTTCTCTTGGGAACGCATTCAAATACAACAACAAAACTCTCAATGTCCCTGCACTTTCCATTGAATGAAGAGTTTGTTTCTTTAATGCAAGTGTGAAATAATTTTCTCCATATAAAAAATAGAATGAAATATAATAGAGAGAAATGCTAAAAAAAAAAAAAGGGAAGAAAAAAAATATGCAAGAGGAATGAGGCATAAGAAATGAGAAAAAATCAAGTTAGTAGCTGGAACTAGAGCTATTTAATCAATATCAAAACTATATTCAATTACCTTAACGCCAGCTTCAGTGCATACTCTCACAGCATCCTTGACTCCAGGGCGACAAGGATCCTGAACATTTAGATTAATGTAGTTATAGGAAGGAATACACTATAGACGATTGATTTGAAAGAATAAGGACAAAGTAAGCTCCAAAGCATTAAGTTGATATATCAATACCATTACCAGCCTCTAAATGTTTTTATAAGAATAGTTTCAACATCAAAAATTGCAATCTTCATTAAATGTGATACTGAAGTACATTTAGATCATCAGGGTTGTCATACTTGTGCATCCTACCAAAAATTGGATGGGAGGAGTTGACCAGTAAATCATGAATTCATAATCCAGATTACAGAAAAAGAAAATAGATACACCTAAAGAATATTTTGCACCAATATGCAAAATACCTTTAAAATCACAACATGCTTATAAACCATTATACAAAATAGGAATTCTGTACTTGGTATAATAATTGGTTATGTGGCTCATTGTCTAATATCTTGGCAAAAAAGAAAGTAGAGTGTACTGTGTTTTTTATTAAGTGAGGATATTTCCCTCAGCTCTCCCGAGTCCCCTCCAACCATTGTCAAAAAAGAAAACCCACAAAGCAAGAGATACAGCAGTTTTAGTCTTGCAGAAAGGTCTGGCATCATGGTTATAATCATAGATTTCAATAATGTTTACCATCATCTTTATGTCAGCAAGCCACTGTCAGTAATAATATATCTAATTTTAGGGTACATTTGGCCTTAACTTTCTTTAGGCTTAAAAGTTGCTTTAAAAATAAAAAGTATAAGTTATTTAGTAGTTTTAGCTTAAAAGCTCCATTCTATTGTCTTACAACAATTGACCTGCATTATTTATTCAGGATGGGAGGGAGAGAGAGGCTAGGGTATGCAGCTTTTATTAAAAGCTACATCAATTAGGCTATTTTTTAAAGCTACTTTTTCCCATTTTATTTTACAAAAATTAAACACCTTAATTTTTCAAGAGATTTTCTCCAAATGTCCTTGGCTCAGCTTTTTCCTTTTAAGGGTAAGAAAGGATAAAAAAAAATTGGACCAAACACTACTTTAATTGTAGATTTCATTAGCAGCCAAGGTCACAACAGGCAAGCAACCACAATAATTTGGATTTCTCATCTCCATCAGTCTTCAGTTGTCATCTTCAGGGTTTGGTATGGTCCTTTAAAATGTTTGGCAGCTCATTCATATGCATTTTATGGCTATGGTGGGTTCAGTAGAATTGTAAGATCATCACAATTATACGACTAAACAAAATATCTGAACATGATCCAGGCATAAATGAGTATGCTGGAATCAAGATCACTCCACAATTCCAATCTCACAGTAGCATTGAAATTTTGACAACCATGATAACCAGACATTTTACTACTAAACAGAATGAAACCAAAACTCAAATCTCAAAAAGAGAAATTCAATTTCGAGTGGTGCAAAAATACTTTCTAAGTTCCAACTACAGGTCAATAAGTGATACAAAACCCTTCATGATTCAAGGATATATAAAGCTTTGTAGCAATTTCGGTAATCAAAACATTGGAGATCTCAAGCAAAATATATATTTTTTTAAGGAAAAAAAGGAATCTACTCTGGTGATATACGTACACACAAAATAAATAAATAAATTAACACATACACATGCTATAAAGAATATGAACCTTATGTTCAGAATATCGTTACCAACCTTCAACTCTGCTATCTCTTGTTCTCGTTTTGCAAATGTGACAATGAATGCAGCTTCCTTTTTTTTTGCTTTTTCAAGCTGATAACCAGTAGAAAAGTGAAATGGCTCAGTGAAATATGATCAATGTATATTGGATCATTTGAAGCATAAAAATTAAAAACTAGATTCTGAGCCTGCTCTCTTAAAGACTCTTCAGATGATTTCAGAGCTCGAAGATAATTAATCACCAATTTTGGTTCTAGAAAGTATAAAGAAGAAATAATTTCTTAGCTATATATTTAAAACACAGAAAACAACTATTAACAAAACCATATCATGAATTAAAAACACATCTATTACTTGCAAAATAATAAGCATAAACTAACCTGGAGTGGTCCCAGCAGATATAAAAGGTTCATTTTGAAATGAAAAATGCCACTTCTTAATCTCAGATTTTGCAGCCTCAAGTTCATTCTGGAATTATACAATGAACTGGTAAACATTTTTAGGAAATAAAGAAGGTACAAGTCAACCTATATACTGAACTTTAGGCCACTCTGTTAGGATCCTCAACTCCAACAACTTAGGCTCAGCTATGTGAATGTTTTCGAACTAACAAATGGAATTAAAAATAGTGTGTAATTTTTTTTGTAATCTCTGGAAAATTTGTTCCACCTAAAACCTTTGAACAAAAAAATTATAATGAAATATTATACAAAGCAAAAATAGGAAATCAAAATGGATATGAATCGAAAACTCACCTTAAATGGAAGCAATCGATCGAAAAACAACGTAAAGAAGAGAAAGCTTAAAAAACTCTTGCGAAATCACTAACCCGTAGAGAACAGTGTAGAGAACACTTAGCGAAATGCTTGCATCGCAAATTGGCTCACGAACGACTGTGTTGAGCGTGAAATGAAGCTGAAGGTTTGACGGAAAAAGATGTTTGAGAGTGAACTATTAAAATCAAAAACGTCATTCATAATATAATAGAAAAAAATTTAATAATATTATTTGGTTTCAATTACATTCAACCAACTCAACATTACAATATATAAAAGCTCTCCACACGATATACAAGTATTTTCCTTTTTTCTTAATTTCGAAAGACTTTTCAAGAAAAAAAGCAGTGCACCGTGTTTTAATAGAATATTGAAATTTTGATACTTGATTTAAACAGTTTACGTACAGTTGGTTTTCATTCACAATTACTGAAGAAACAATGTATAGAATAAAACTTCACGACCGAAACTTCATAAGACACTTACGGGAGAAATAAAATCCATTTATATACCAATCAAGCGTGCATAATCCATCTTAATAATTCCGATTCTAAAATCTTTATAATATAGGTTCAACAATTCGAAATTAATTCTTTATCTTGTGTGATACTAGCTAGTAGCGAAAATACTTTCAGGAATCAACATTCTTATTTGCAGCTAAAAGAGAGAAAGAAATCCCTATATTTTATAATTAGGATTTATGCATAACTGAAAAAGAAAATATCATTTCGTAAACACTATAATAAATAAACTTTTACTGATATTTAATATTATTTATAGTGATAATAAAAATGGTTATCTAATATTTTACAAATAGATTTGTAAGATGAAAGTTGTCTTATACTCAATAGATATTTGAAACTCATAATTTTTACATAACAAAGGAATATTGTGTATCTTTCTCCAAAGTGGGAATCCCCTTTGACCTTAAAGCACATTAATCTTCTTGATAGAAGATGAAAACTAAGATTTCACTTCCTTTGACTCTTCTTCTACTCTCTTTATTTTTCGTGATTGCTAGGATTTAAGATAATACTTTTCATTAAAGAGGGGGACTTTGTTTCACATTAGTGAGTATTTATAATTGTTAGGTCAAAAGACAATGTTAGACTCCCTTATTCTTAAGTTTTGTTGATAACAAATGTAAAAACAAATCATTCACTAAGACGCAAATCATTAATAAGAAGAATCATGTATATAATGATATGTTCATTAAGATGATTCTGTTAGAGGATAAGACCAACCCTTAGTCATTAA